CAAGTTTTATCAACACAGAGTGAAACACCACAGGGAACCTCTGCAGTCCTGAGCTGACAATTCAACTCTGAACACTGAATCCTTGGAATAGTGTGGAGGGAACTAATCGTACGACCAGGTTTGTTCTTATGTGACAAGTGCAAGTGATTTAAAGGTCCATTGTGTGACATTTAGAAATTCAGAAATATAATATTCATTAGTGTATAATCACCAAAATAATGTTGTGTTTTCATTACCTTAGAATGAGCCGTTTTTATTTACAGACACCACAGGTCACCTAACTCTAACCATGGTGAACCTCCATGTTTCTACAGTATCCCAGAAGCGTCAAACTGAACACTGGCTCGGCATTTTACACACATTCTGTGGCCACCGTAGTTCCTCCTTTGCCCTTAGAAGGGGAGCGTGAAAAGTTCCGTTTGCAACTACGCTGCAAGAGGCCACTAAATCCTACACACTGGACCTTCAAGAGAATTTCTGGCATTCACCAATTTTCTAGTATTTGAATTTTCTCACAGGTTCAAATGAATGTCTGAGTTTTCTCTTTCTCATTTGACCCAACATCATGTCTTAATCTGAATAAATATTATATTTGTTAGGAGATCCTCTCACTGCTGCTTCGGGGTCTTCATGCAGGTCACTGTCCAGTAACATGCTCTCACATGCAATAGTATAACATCACCTACTGTATGCTATTAGGGCTGCAAGTAATATTTATTTTTATCATCAATTAATCTGTCGATCATTATCTCGATTAAACAATTAGTTGTTTGGTCCATAAAATGTTAGAAAATGGTGAAAAACATCGATCTGTGTTTCCCAAACGTCTTCAACCCAAACATATTCAGTTTACTGTCAGAGAGGACTGAACAAACCAGAAAATATTCATATTTGAGAAGCTGAAATCAGAGAATTTGGACATTCATCTGAACCACGAAAAAAGTGAGAGGTTAAGAATAAGATAATATTCGTGCATGAGGCCCTGTGACTACTGACCAGTGGTAGCTTCAGTCTTAAAATATTAATGGTGGCCACAACACAACGGCCTCTCATTACCTGACAACATTGGTCACATACCATAAGAAGAGTTAAACATCCCATACAGCTGTTTACGGGCAGCTGGAGGCTGCTGAGGGAACCCCTGAGGTTAAATTTAGAGCTCTCCACAGATGCTGTTGGTTATAGTTTAGTGATCAGCTCTGAGGCAGCCCATGGGAGGAAGTGGTGAAGAAATGCTTTGGTTTCAAGTTAACTGAAGGGCGGTGATTAAGAAGGTGGCCTCCCCATTAGGTCTTAACAGAGCTCCTGCTTGATTAATCAATGTCTATTTAGTCCGAGCCCTCCAGCCATCGCCATAGTTTCCGAGCAACGTGGAGAAGAAGCTGGTAACCAGTGAAGAATGACTCTCACAAGGCAAGCTCGGCCTTTCATTTTTCCTCTCTTTCTTTGTGTCTCTTCATTTTATGATATTGTTTTGTCTTCTGCTGTCTCTTTATCACTCAGCACCCCTTCTTCTGTTTTTTTCTTCATCAGTGTCTGTAGCAGTTTTCATGGTGTTTTCCCCCTCTGCTCTCTTTATCCTCAATAATTGTCTTTATCCAATTCATCGTGTGATTTGTCTGTCACGTACTGTTCTACCAGAGAACAAACCCTCCAGAATATGAAATGCCCCCCCCCCCATGAGCCAATAAGAAAACCTGTTGTTTTCATCCTTCAGCCTCCAACTCTCTGCTGATAAAAAAAACAGCATCTGAAACCTCTCAGCATCTCTCCATATCATTTACTTTGATCCAGTTGGAGTGCATCGTGCTTGTGGACCTTTCCTTTTCCCTAATCCCCCAGCTCCACAAACAGCAGCCTGGAAAAATCCCTAAGAGGTTAGAAGTGCTTGACCTCGGCCTGTCGCCTGCCGGATCAAAGCTAAGCCATGTGGACATGCTGGTAATGCCATACCTTCTCTTTTCTATTGATACTACAGCACATGCAACACTGCTGGGTTGACACTAAAGTAATCCTTTTCCAGGACACTTTCCAGACCACACTTGCTCACAATGATGGTCAACATATATGGCACACTCTACGCTGGCTCGATTTCCTGATGGCTCGGCTGTTCTCACCACAGTGAGCGGAGTAGAAAATTATTATTCATCTTCTCACCTATTAACAATTAACAACCACAACAACAAATGTAATGTGATCATTAATAACAGGCTGTATGCATGTAGATAATGACCATCTACAGCATTTCCAAAATAGACATGGACTTAATTGACATAGGAGCCAAATCGAAAAAGGAGCATTTTTTTGTTACGTTAACCCACTTTGAAGTGTCATAGCACAGCTTATCCTAGCAACAGTCGAGTTTCAAACAACATATGCACCCAGGTTCGTCTAAATGAGGGGCTAAAATATAAATAAAATTTCTCAGGACAACATAGATTATTTCCAGGATATTTGGTAATTTTGACCAATTTCCAGGTGTTTCCATGACTGGAAAACTGGTCACTAAATTTCCAGATCTTCCAGGACATGTGGGAACCCTGTTAGATAACACTGTGAATCTCAACATGTGAAGAATGAGACAAGGAAATGTCTTACATTTGTAAAGTCACTTAATGACGGGAGGTCCACTAAGTGCTGATAAAGGCTTTATAGTTCACCACAAATCTCCCAGCAGCTGTATCTGGTGCCGTAATGGAGGTCCAATGGAGAGTGGCTGTTTGCAAATAACACCTAAATACGTTACAATGAGGGCTGGTTAAAGAGAGACGCTTGAATCAGCCCCACTGACAGTTTACTGTAAGCCGTTCACATGAGCTTCCAGTAGAATAAAAGTGCTTTTAAGTGCAACAGCTCATTCTGTCAGGTGGGGAATATCATATCAAAACAGGCAATGACACGTTCTTAAAAACAACGCAGCTCTTCCTGCCAAAACTTGACAAAATTAGGTATCTTATTTTTAAGCATGCTTATACTACTGCTGTCTGTATACAAGTACAACCTCAGTACTGTAGCACTGCAGTGACAAGTACCAGAAGAAGGTTCTTATTCTTTGATCAGTTCCAGATTGAAAAGAACATTTTGCCAATTTCAGACTCTTTTATTTGGGGACATTTGCTGTATGCTTGTTCTTTGATAGCATTTTTTTTTTTTCGAAAACAGGTCATCTAGAAATCTAGGTTAAAACTGGGCTAAATTTGGTGGAAAAGAGAACATTTTTAGAAGCCATGGTTACATTTAAATGTTTATTCAACATTTACAGAATGCCTGTCCCCAATAAAGGCAGGGGGATTTCAGTGATTTAAGCAAATAAACAAGCGTGCTGCTAGTTTTATGGTATATTTCAGTGTGTAGTTAATTATCTGTATCGGAATGGGCGTGGCTTAAACTTGGACTTGGACTGAACTAACCGGAAGTTGTGCATTTAAACCTGAAACTGATATGGGTTAATCAGCTATTGCAATTTTTATTAGAAAACTATTCACAGAACAGGCTCCGGTTAGAGCCTCAGAACAATGTTTCTGAGCACAATAGTAAACGTTTTTTTTAAATGAAAGTTGTAAAATATTTTAATCTGATGATACCTGTACTTGTAAAAAGTAGATTATCCATACCGGACACTCGCGTCAGCCGAATATTTGCTCAACACCGGTAGTTAGGATGTGCTCCACCATGAAATATAGTCCCTGAAATGCTACTGAAGCAACAATTGTGTGAAACTATGGTACAAACTGCTTGTTCTTTCTGATCAACACTTAAAAACCCCAAAGATTTTCTTACAATGATCTAAAACAGACAAAAACAGCAAATCCTCACACTCGAGAAGCTGAAACCAGCATATTTTTAAAAACATTCTGTTGATAATTAATTTTTAAGCACTATATCAAAAAGTTCCTTTTTCAACTAGATGGTGCCCGGTTTGAACCTAGCCGTATTTCCCCCTGCTGTGTTGACATGTCTTCACTTTCAGCCTGGGAACTGTGGTTCTCCTCCTTCAGGGTATCACAGCTTAATCAAGCAGTGACAGAGATGGCAACCCCCCCTCCCTCCTCTTCCTCCTCCTCAACAGTGATGGATGGAGAGCTGTCCTTCATCTCTAAGCCCGTTTGTTTCGCTCCACTGTTTGCCATTGATTCAAGGATTAGCAATCTAAATGGGTTTGATCAGATAACTGTAAATAGTAACAAAAAGGAGCTGATGGAAATCTCCAAACAATAAACCGTGAAAGCAGTGTGTGTGTGTGTGTGTGTGTGTGTGTGTGTGTGTGTGTGTGTGTAAGCTGGAGGCTCTGTGGTTGAGTCATAGGGGGATAAACAGTGGCAGCATATGGATTGTGTGCAGTGCTGTCCATACCGATGAGAGCTTATCTTCCTCTCATCCGAATGACAAATTCTATTCAGATTGACTTTTCATAATTTCACTACAGTTGCGCTCGGATCCTCCCTTTCTTTACAGCTCTGCAAATCCTCCAATTCAACTGGTGGCATTTTCACTTCCCTGCTTCTCCTTTGTTTCTCTCCACACCAGAGCTTTCCCTCCTCTCTGTAGCAACAACAGCAGCAGCCGCAGCCAGCCAAGCTCTGCAAATGTCTTGTAAGGCAGATAGAGGCTATAAATTGTAGCAGCCGCCACACTGTACCTGTGCAGCAGAGCCAGGCCGAGCACAACAGGTCCAGCCTGCCAGCCAGGGGGGCTCGTGCCCAGTCATACAGGCAGAGAGGCGCTCAATTCATCAGTAATGTCAGCAGTCAATCGCTGAATGCTGAATGGGTTCAGTCAGTGTGTCAACACTCAGTCAGTGTGAGCCTGGCTTCTGTTACAGCATCAGTGATGACATCAACATGTTTACACAGAAAGAGAGAGGGAAGAGGAAGGAAAGCGGGGATGTTGTGGTGTAGAACAAGAAATGTTAACCTGTGACCCCTGAGAGCTTGACTTACTCTCCACACACACACACACACACACACACACACACACACACACACACACAGAGCAGCTACCTGTCGGAGTGTCTTGAGCATCTCCGTGGCCTCATCCTGTTTGCCCTGCTTGGCCATTAGCATCATCTCCTGGATCATGCCGATGCGGCGTTGGTAGGGTGGCGGCGTCCCGCCACGGCTCAGCCGGTCCCCTGACTTCAGCATGAGGGAAGCCAAGATGTCACCCCGCTCCTTGGTGGGCGTCCGTTTCCAGCTGTGCTGAGGGCTGGCCCCTCCAGGCTCCTGGCCTTTGGTCTGCTTGGCACCCATGGCGCTGAGTTAACGTGAACTGTAGTAACAACAAGGCCGGTCCCACCGAGCACTCATGCAGAGGCAGGTTTGATTAATGTCTGAGATACTCTGCTAATTAAAATGCCTGCAGCTGATCACATCTTTCTAAAAGCCTGCAGTGTGAAGCACTACAATTCCAAACAGGAAAATGTTCATTATCACTCAGTTACACAGAGGAGTGGATGTTCCAACAGTACAAAATAATACTCCAAAACATTCAGAAGTGGAACTGCTAGTTTTCTTCTTTTGGGAACTTGTTAATCCCAGAGAGTGAAGCTCAGGTCGGGAACAGGTCGGAGGATGCTGCCTGCAGCATGGCCGCAAAACACGGACACAGCAAAGTCAGGATGCAGGATACCTACAGCGTGGCCCGCCGCAGCCTCCTATCCCGAACACAACTTCACCACGTCTCCAAAATATCTACCTTCGACAGCGGCGTCGTCTTCCTATTCTGTTATCCTCTGAAATACAGCCCTCTGTCCTGGACCGGAGAAGGAGGAGGAGGAGGAGGAGGATGCGGATCGGGGGAGGTGGTGCATGAAGCAGGGCATGGCAATGTTTACGTCTCCTGAAGCTCACCAGCGTCTGTCTGCTCCTCCTCGCTCTGCCCTGTCCTTCCTCAGCCGCTGGAAGTCATGCAAACAAACACAGCGTTCGTCCTTCTCCAAGGTTGATCCTCCATCCGCTCCGGAGCAGCACAAAGCCGCATCGAAGTCTCTGTCCACGGGCTGTGTGAGAGGCTGCAGCTCCGCGGCTCCAGTTGGCAGTAGGGGAGAGACTGGGGTGTTCCCTTGCTGGGACTGAATTATGTATTGCACCCTCTGTTCAACTGTATGGGGGCGCGCAGCGAGTGCACGTGAGCACAAGTCCCCCTCCCCCCCTCCTCCTCCTCCTCCTCGCGGAGTGATGGAGAGAGGGAGGGAAGGGCGGGAAGAGCACGAGCACCGTGCGCCGCTAACTTTGCACTTTCTTAGCTGCAAGACACGACGTGTGGTCTTCTCTGGGATGGCGGCGTACCAAGTTCCATTAAATTAATGAGTCATTTTAATGCCGCACAGCTCCTTTCCACACATATACATATCTGGTCTAGATGACTCATAGCTTTTAAAATCCCGCATGGTCTTCTAGTAAAATCGGCATATGTAGCTTATTGTCAAAGTATCAATTTATTTTTAAAAAGCCCACAATTTGAACTAATTGATTCATTTTACTGGCTAGCGAATTGTGGCGGCCACAAAAACCACTACAACCAGACTATAACCAAATTAAAATAGGCTCAGTATTGTTCAATGGATCCTATCATAGCAAACAAGGAATAATATACTTACATTAGTTTATAAACGGCGTTGAGTCCGGTTCTGCCTTCGGTAATAAGCAAGACATTCATTTTAAACTGGCTGATTTCCCTGTTGGTTTGGTCATTTACGTAGAAAATATCTATTTATTTGAAAGGTTCATATGAATGAGGACAAACTATTGAATATATTTTCGTAATATAGCATGCAGTTTTACCTGGTCATCAATATAATATGGAAATCACTCAAGTTTTAGCAGCAGTCAGTGATGTTCATGTAGCCAGTGACCAATGAGATGCCTGCACTGACCTCTGGTGGCTGTTTGGATTCATACACCGATAATTATAATGTGGTCGCAGCACATCGTATGTTTTAGTCAAAATATATATAAAAAAGTAAGTATAATAACTATAATTAGTTGTAGCAGTTGTACAGCATATGAAGATGAACTAGAAATACTGTCTTATTGCTTATGACCTTTCAATGTTGGACATTAAGGCAAACTGCCAGCTTTTATTAACCCTCATTTAAAAGCTAAAAAATACACATTTTCTATTTCTTTGCATGTGCAGACAACACCTGTATTTAACAGAGAATAAAGAAATACTTTTCAAAAGGTATATTTATTTGTTTTGCCTTTAATTACATCTCTATTTACAGTATTTCAACCATCGTAGTTGCTTCACATCACTTATCAAAACAAAGATGTTAGTTTCTTTCCTCACTTTACCAGAGAAGGTTTAGGCTCTGAACTTTTCCCGTCACAGAGCTTCTAAAGTCATACAGTCAGTCTTAACAAAAGACATCCGGCATGTGTGTACAGGATGAAGACTTCATTCTGGTTTTTACAGAGAGCACACTGCAGCGTAGTAGGTAGACATTTCATACACACTCACACACACACTCCTCTCCCGTTAGCCACATCACTGGCTGCCAACAGCTTGGTTTAATTACTTAATGGTGTGCTACGTTTGTTATAAAGACGACTACGGCCTGGCCTTCACCTCTTTTAAAGCAAAAGAGTGTTCTTTTTTTGGCAGTCAACGTGTACAGTTCACTGCTTGTTAAAAGCATTCAGCCACCCTTGACTTTTCTAGTTTGAGCTTTCACAACAATAAATCACTGTGGATGGAATTACGAGTTTTAAAAACACTGATCCAAAGAATGGGGCTGTAATGTAACCAGATCTCTTCAAAAATGTACAAAATATAAAAGTTATAATCATTTATGGTGCAAGTATTCATTCCCTTTACAATGTCACACCTAAATTATAACTGGAACAGCTAACTGTTTTTATAAGTTACATTATCATTTGAATAGAGATCAGTGTGTAGTCAACTACTTTCAGTGTTAAAAACATCTGTATCTGGAAGGTTCAATTGCTGGGTTTCTTCTTTCCTGGCAAGAGTGGTATCATTAAGACAAAAGAACCCTCCACATATCCATCTGCCAGAGGTTCATCAGAAATCACCACTCAGACATTAATTATAACTCAGAGTGCAATTAAGTCATCTCATTTAAGAATAAGACACAGCTGTAATTCTGTGTGTCCTGTGAGAAGGGCACTAAGAGACCTGTGGACTCTGAGGGAGCTACAGGCTGCCGTGGCTCAGACTGTACACTAAACCAAAGACTCCACATCAACAGTCCATATAATGTGAATGTGGCATGAAGCCAGGTGGTGGCAGCATCATGCTACGCTTCTCTACAGCAAGACCAGGAATGCTTTAACGCAACACCAATGTTTGGAAATGGGAGAGGTTGAGCAGGTTTACACTTAAGAATAAGGAAAAGTGGCAGATGTGTCCAGATGTGAAAAGCTGACAAGAGATCTCTCTTCAGACTGCAGAAAGCTATAGTTTCTACCAAAGCTGCTTACTTTGGATCATTTGTAGAGATTTTGTTTCATTTTGACATTAAAGCTACAGTAGGTAACTTTTATAAAAATAACTGTGATATTTGCTGAAACTTTCACTATATCCTGACAGAAGTACATGAGACAGATAATCTGTGAGAAAAACTGGCTCCTCCTAGTGTTCCTAATGGTATTTGTAAGAATTCACAATAAACTCAGCTCTGATTGGTTGTTTTCATTCAGGCCCAGTGGATTCTTGCAAATACCATTAGGAACACTAGGAAGAGCCAGAGGACAGAGATTATCTGTCTCATGTCCTACTGTCAGGATATATTGAGTTTCAGCAAATAGGACAAAAAGTTATTTTTTATAAAAAATTACCTACTGCAGCTTTAAATAGTATTTTTTTCTGTTGATCAGTGTCAAACAGACTGTAACTCCATCCACTGTGCTTTAGTGTTGTACAACAGTAAAACATAAATACTTGTGCTGAGAATCTGAATCTGACTTCCCACTCACTAGTGGCCCATAGAGTTGTGACGTAACTGAACTGTGATAGGGTACTATTAGAATTTAAAAAACATGACATGAAAATAAGGTTTAAGATAAAAGTCATGTTTCCATAAATTCAAACAAGAACATCACTAAGGAAGGAGGAGTTTGTAACATGTAGTTTATGTGATGGCTTACCTATTGACTTAAAATATGAGACGGAGGCCTTTTTATGAAGCTCAGCTGGAGTTCTTGCTCTTTTCATGAACCCAGAGCTCTACAGGAAATGCTCCCACTACAAAAACAACCTGGTCAATATTTCAGATATTGAATGCGCAACATGTCTGGCTCAACATTAACTACCCTCCCTCCCAACTCTCTTCCACTAGACTGTGCATGTCTCTTCAAATACACCACAGAGTGAAGATGCACTGGCGATCAGTTTTCTACCCTATATGATTTAATCAATGATGTGTTGCTGTTGGATGCACTCTGACAGGAAAGGGGTGAGGTGGACCTGCATTTGGATCTAGACAATGCTGTATTGTCCCTTTGCATAACCTGACTCACTAGTCTTATGCTGAAGGCTGAGGCAATGTTACAGGGGGGAGGACAGTTCTAGACAACCGAGATGGGACCAGGACTGACGGCGTGTCCGGGGTCCTTGTAGGTAGGGGGCGACTCCTCGCTGTTAGAATGTGTAGCCAGCAGGGGGCGCTTTGTCGTCTTTGTTGCTCTCCAGGGAGAAAGGAGGAATGCGAACATCGAAGTGGGTGCCATCAGTCCTCTCAATGCGGAACGTCCCCCTAAACACAAATAATGGAGTTCAATATTGCAGGCAGTGAATTAGTGACAGAGCACAAGATCTGATTGGTGAATATTAAAAACAGGAGCCATTAAATATGACATGACCAGGAAATTCATAGTGAAAAGTTGTTTTAAGGCTTTGGAAGATGTAATAAATACAAATAAAAGAATATGCAACAGTTATAATATATTGTAATATTGTGATGAAATACAATGACAGGTAATAAAACAAACAGTAAAAAGCAAGTCCAAAATAATGATTTTTAAAAAGGTGAAGACAAAGTGTTCCTGATCTGCACCAGCAGGTCATTCCACAACTGAGAAAAGGCCAGGTTACCTTTAAGCCCGATTTATCCTTCTGCATTAAATTGCAGCCTAGGACACTACGCAGCAGCCTAGGACCCTATGCCACAGCCTACACAGTAGCCTAACGTGCATCTTCTCTACTGTGATTGGTCTGTCTGTTGGTGTTTGTGCGAGTTGTCTGAGAATGGGAAGCGACTCATGCAAAACCCAGATGAGTTATCAATGCTGTTTGAGAATCCCTCTTCAAAACCCACACCTGTCCTCACAAACACACAGACACACATGGGACTCTGCCTTGCTGCATGACATGCTCTTGTCTGTGCCCTCATACTGCCTTGTCCTTTTGTTTCACAGGCGTTGTTTCAGTTTTAATTGGAACTCAACACAGTAGCATTAAAAACCCCACCACCCGCTAGCACTTTGGCAGAGCCGTTTGCAGACACACCAGCGCACAAGTATACATTTTTATAACGGCATAGGTAACTTGTGTAAGCTACACTGTAGGCACAACGTACAATTAGAATCAATCTTTAGTTTTCAGGTTTGACTTAGGAAAGACCTACCAGAACAGCTCAGGATGTATTTCAGCATGTAGGAGGTCAGCTATATGGCCCTTTATAAACCTTAAAGGTGATTATTAAAATGTTTTAATCTATTCTGAAACTGACTAAGACAAGTAAAATGTGTTCTCTCCTGTTGGACCTGGTCATAAGTTAGGCTGCAGTATTTTAAATCATCTGGAGTTTGAGGTTTTGTTGTGTGAGGAGAGAGGAGAGTGCATTGCAGTAATGTAACCGGGATGAAATGAATGACTGTTTCTAAGTTCTAGTAGGATATGTAGCAGAGATGGGAAGTGTGTAACAGTAAACTGGTGTAAGAAGGGTGAACTCACCACATATGACCACTGGGGGCTTGTAGAGACACATGACTGCTGTACTGAAAGGCTGGCTGTTCTTTGGACAACACCGGCTCCTGGGACAGCACAGAGACCATGTGACGAGGTTACACAAAATTTGTGTTTCAAAGTGCAAGTCTGGGTTTGCATTACTACTGTTGACCTTTGCATTTGTGATTGTCAAATCTAGCCTGCAACACATTA